GGGGCTGCGCCAACCACGCGTGGTCGTCAAGGGACATATCCCCGAAGGATGGTACGATCGAAGACGAAGATCGAAGGCTGGCGATATACATGTTGAATGGCATGCGAGCTGCTAAGAATGAACAGTCTTGAAATACATGCTGTTGTTGGTGCTGTTGGTCTTGCTGTTGTTATTGCTGTCGTTGCTGCTGCTGTTGTTGTTGGTGGTGGTGGTGTTGTTGGTGTTGATGTTAAAGGTGTAGGTGTTGTCGTTGGTGTTGTTGGTGGTGCTGGTGCTGCTGCTGGTGTTGTTGCTGTCGGCTGGCTTAGCGCCGCCCGTCGCCCCCGCCGTCGTCGCCCCATGTTGGTTGCGATTGTTGTTTGCGCGACGCTGTACAGTGAAAACCGTGACCAACCGGCGCCGCCGCCAGTCGCCGCCGCCGGCGACGCCCCATTTTGGTTACGGTTTCGATTGTGAGAGGGTCACGCAATCAGCATCCTGACCAAACGGCACCGCAGCCCGTCGCCGCCGCCAGCGCCATTTCGTTCATTCGTTCGCATTGCTCTGCCTTGCTTCGCACGGCTTTGCACTGCATTGTTTTCGCATTGCTTGCATTGCTTTGCATTGCGTTATATTGCATCGCATCGTTTTGCAGAAATGTTGCATCGATTTGCGTTACCTTGCATTGCCTTGGACTGCTTCGCTTAGGTTCGTGAATTGACTACAGGCGGTCCATCGGAAAACCTGCCGAAATCTTCAAAACATCTTCGGCCGGAAACTCATACTCCAAAAAACATGTTAAATAATCTTGAATGGGAAACTCAACATCCAAGACAACCTGAGAAAATCTCAAAAACAAAACCTGAGGAAAACTCAAACACATAAGAAACTACAGAAAATCTTGAAGCTGAAACCTGTGATTTAAAATTCGAACCCACAAAAAACTTAGAAAAAACCGGAAGCTCAAACCCGGACAAAAATTCAAACCGGGAAGGTGTTTTGTTTAAAGTTGTTTTACAGTTTCTCCAGAGTTTTTCTAGAGTTTTCCAGAGTTTTATCCATTTTTCTTAGAGTTTCCAGGCGTTTAGAGTTTTGTTTGGAAATTTTTACAACGTTTTTTACAGTTTTCAGTCGTCCATATCTTCGCATTTCAAGTTACATCTGATTCTGCCCCATCGTCCACCTTAAATATGAAATCGTACCATTCCAGCCGAGCTGGTATCGACCCCCCCGCCGTCCTCTGCAACAAATTCTATGCGCGCGCACTCGTTTATCAAAAATCAGCAGTTTCCAAAAACCCATTGCAAATAATAGGACGAAGTGCACACGCGCGCGTCGTCGCGCGCGCATGCCGAAATCCTTCAACAACCTTTGGTTTCGGAAGGATTTCAAAATCGAGTGTCCCAAAAACATATAAATAAGAACGCATGGTTTCGCAACACGGGTTTTCAACAAAAGCTTGCGCGCGCTCTTGCGAATGCTTAAGCAAACTTTGGGTTGACCAGCATTTTTTGGAAATTGCTACCAAACGGGCTTCTTGCGCACGCATGTCGAAATCGTTCGAATGCCTTGCGCGCGTGCCGTCGCGAGAATTCGTTGCAACAGTAATGGACGAAGTGCGCACGCGCGCGTTGTCCGGCGCGCGTGCCGGAATCCCTCACATACCTTCGGTTTCGTAAGGATGCCAACATTGAGTGTCAAAACACAATCAACAACGCAAGGTTTCGCAACATCAGTTTTCAAAAAAGCTTGCGCGCGCGATCCAGCGAATTCTTAAGAAAACCATAGGTGTTCAACATCTTCATGGAATTCTGCCAAACGGGCCTCTGGCGCCGCATGCCGACATCATTCTCACGCCCTTGCGCGCGTGTTGGGGGGGCACGATCCGTGTCAAATGAAACCATGCGGGCCACTCTCGCGCGTCGACCGCGCGCGCATGCCGAACTATTTCCAAAACCTTCACCACCGACGCGAGGACGCCGTCATCGTCGTCGGCGTGATCACATCGGCGCCCGCACTGGCCGCGCCTTCGTCGGTGCGAGCATCGTCACCAGCACCGCCACGATCACCATCGCGTCGACCGTAGTCGGCGTTGCCATGATACCGCGTCCGCCCAAGTCGCCGACTCGCAGTGCAGTACCGGGTGGGGTGCGCCCAGCGGACAGCGCCACCGTGGCCGCGTCGGCGGCGCCAAACCAGCTGGCCGTTGCGCGCACGAGCTAGGGTTGGCGCGGCCGCAAAGATGCACAAACCAACGCCAAGCATGCATCGCAATCGCCACAGCATGGGTTTTGTAATCCAAATTGTGGGTGGGTTGGTGGGATGTTTGCAACAGCATGGGATGTATCAAATCATGTGTAAAAACCAATTGCGCCGCGCAGCTTGCACCACCTGTCTCACACTACATCCTTTGCACCACCCAGGTGGCATCACATTGGTTGCACCACCTAGACTGCGCCGCGTAGACTTCAAGAAATCATCGGTTGGAGTCCACGCTGACCAACATTGTATACATCGATATAGATAAAGGTTCCCAAACCTGCGCTTGCACGTTGGGTTTCTGATATCCGCTCAAAGCAACTGGGCCTTGTTGTCTGTGCGGCTGGCTTGTGGCGGCCCGTCGCAGTCTGTCGCCGCCATTTTTGGTCACGAGTTTGATAGTGCAGGGATCGAAATACGCATGGCTTGCCTTGCAATGGTGTACATTGCGCTGCACTGGTTTACGTATGGTTGCATCGCTATGCGTTGCGTCGCATTGCTTCGTATTGGTGCTGTGCCGCATTGCTTTACACTTCGTTGCGTCGCATGGCACTGCAATCGCACTGAATGTGGTTGCATTGTTCTTCATGATTTATTCATTGGTTTGCATTGTGTGGCGTTGCTCTGCGTTGCGTCGCATTGCCTTACATTGCGTTGGTATGGTTTGCAGTAGTTCGCGGTGCGTTCCATCGACTTGATTTGCATATCTCGGCATTGGGCCGAATTGCATCGCGTGGTTTGATTGTTTAGGTTGCTTTGCATTGTGCTGCATTGTGTTCATCCGTCGCAGCGTGTTGCTTCGTATTGCTTTGCACTGCGCTGCGTTACTCCGCACTGCGTCGAACCACATGGAGTGCACCCAATTGATTGTGCCACCTAGTGTTTGCCGCGTAGATTCCCCGAATTTATTGTATGGGGTTCACGCTCGCTAGCATGCATATGTGTACCCACATTTATCAATAAGTCAGAATGAGGGTGCGAGCATAATGATGATGTCCCTGGGTGCGTGGCTGAAGTGGCGTCTTGTCCAGCGGATGGTTCTTGATTGCCCACGCCTGAAGAATGATTATTGTTGATCTCCCCTTGGTGCCCCTGGTGTCTTTTTGAATTGCAGTGCCTGGGAGTCGCGTCAGCGCTAGAAATCCCCCCCCGCAACTCATGCAGGACTGACGCTTCAGCGACCCCGCCCGCTCGACCAGGCTGTCTGGGCCCGCTCGCTCGGCCCGCCCGTCGGGTTCTGTCGCTTGAGTGTCTGCTCCTGACGTGGCAGGTAAGGAGGATGTAACCCCAAGAGGGGTACGATCGAAGACGAAAAGGGCTGGTACCGAGGGCTTGTGATATGCACGTTATGTGACACTCGGGAAGAGACGAGCGAACAGTCTGACAATGATTTTGGTTGTGCATTGTTGTTGTTGCGTTGTTGACGGTGTCGTCGTCCCACCCGCGACCCCGCGACCCACCCGCGACCCACCTCGCGACCCACTTTGCGACCCACCCGCAACCACCGCGCGACCCGCCAGCGACCACACGGCGACTAATCCCGCGACCCGCCCGCTACCCACCCACGTTGCTTTGACGGAAAGAAACATCAGGGCTTGCGGCGGGTTTTCTCGAATGTTCTGCCGAGCCTCGCCAGATTGCCACCCCCCCTCCCCCCCACGCCCCTTCACTCCTACCCGCAATTGCGGGGTCTATGGCATGTGAGCATGTGTCAATGCACTTCCCGCTGTCTCTCTCTCTCTCGACAGTGGAGGCCCATGCCAAGAAACACCCTGCTTGCCTCAATGATGCCCTGGGTGTCTTGGGCTTCGATGGTTTTTGCTGTGGAAAGCGCGGCGCTCCCACACCAATAGTCCATGCACGTCCTGGGGTCTCTGGGTTTGGGTTTCTTGCGGAAGGTTTCTTGTGGATCTCTCTCTCCCTCTCTTTCTCTCCCTCTCATATTCTCTCTCTCTCTCTTTCGCTCTCTCTCTCTCTCTGTATACCCGTGTCAAACACGTGCATTTGTATATGTTTGTGAGAAGTTGTACATGTATGTATATGTAGGTCCCCAGACATCCTTCTCTCTCTCTCTGTCTCTCCCCCCTGTCTTTACACTTACACTAACACATATCACAGTGAGGGTGCCGAACGGTATTACACCACCAGTGGATGCGTGCCCGTAGTGGGTTTCTGCCGTCAGGATTGTTTTTGTTAGTTGGCTGTTGTTTGCGGTCTGTTGTCGTCGTCGACCTCACCCGCGGCCCGCCCGTAACCCACCCTCGACCCGTCCGCGACTCGCCCCCGACCAACCCACATTGTTTTGACAAAACATCGGCGCTTGCGGCGGGCTCGAAATGCACTGTGTAAAACAATTGTTGCGCTTGCGGCGGGCTTCCTCAGAGCCTCGCAGACTGCCTTCGACCCTGTTGCCTCCTCACTCTCATCCGCAACTGCGGGGGGCCCAGCAAAACGACGCAACGCAAGAACACCGCGAATCTGCGAAGCGGAATCACACCTCAGCCATGTACGCAGGGACAATGAATGACCGTTCGCGCCCCCCCATGATTCAAATAGAATCCTCCTATTCCCTCACTCCTCCGACTCCTCCTTCTTCTCGTCCGTTCTCTCTTTCCGCCCTCCTCTCCCCTACATCCTCCTCCCTCCTACCGGGCAAGAGAACCCCCCAGGCACCCCTTCCTAGGAGCACCCTCCCCTCCACCCTAGGACCCTCCTCGACCCTTTCTAAGACCTCTTCGACCGTCCCACCCTCCCTCCCGATCTCCCTTGTACGCCTCCCTCCCGGCCCTCCCCTCCCTGCGTCCTCGACGCGACAGCGAGAGGCTGCGCGACTCTCAGGCGCCTCAGCAGGGGGCGAAAGCGGGAGGGGATGAAATAAACCCCAAGCGCCGCCCTGCTGAGGGCGCAAGCCAGTCGTCAAGAGACAGGTTCGCCGCAGGCAATGTTCTTTTTCTTCTTCTTCTCCTTATTATTCGTCGTCTTCTGCTCCTTCTTCTTCGTCTCATTGTTATTATTATTGTTATGTTTATGTGTTTTCTTCTTGCCTTTTCTTTTTTGTTCTTCCATCCGTGACGCCGCAACCCGACAGACAGGGCGCACAGCTCGTCTTGGAAGCCACGGCCCGGCCCGCACGGCCGCGCGGCAAGTTGAGATCCAGGCGCTGCACCTCTGGTCTCACAAGGCGCCTTCGCCTTGTTTCTGGCTCCAAAACATGCGGCAGAAAGGTGGGGGGTGGGGCTCCTGTCGTGGTTTGTCGTGGCGATGCCTTCTTTGTTCTCAACGCCGGATTTTAGGGCAAGGTGCGGGGCCTGCGAGCCCAGGGGAACATGTCTGGACCCCCGATCGGGGCTCAAGAGACCGGGGCCAGGGCAAACAGGGGTCAGCGAAGGCGCTGGACCTTGCAGGATGTGGCCACAGATGCACCGGCCCTTGCTTGTGCGCAGGATCTTGCAGGATCCTGCATCATCTCACGTGATGTTGCAAAGCCTGACTGACTCGTGCTTGCTCTGACCCGGGCCAGTAGGTCCTCGCCCCGACCGTCGTTGCTTCTCACGGCCTGGCTCCACGGAGGTCTCGGCCGTTGGTCCCCTCGGGCCACGCGTGTGGCCCGGCAGGGTACCCAGGAGAGCGGCGGTCCACAGAGCCCCAGCGCGTTGGGCGAGCGCACTGCCACGCTCTGGGTTCTGCGAGGGCCGCAGCGGGCGCGGGCCTGCGCCCGCCCGGTGGGGCTCCAGGCCGCTGTCGCTGCAGGCTGTCCTGCGGGGGGACCCCCGCTGCTCCTCGCCCGCACGGGTTCGACTCGCTCCAGGCTGCGCCCGCAGCGCCTGCGGCCGCCGCCCCAGCCCCTGGGCGCTGGGCGCGGGCGCGGTGCCGCTCCGCGTGCACTGCCAGGGCGCCTCGGCAGCGGCCGGCCGCCCTGGCCACCCCTGCCGACGCTCATCGTGCTGTGATCTGGACGCCCGAAATGGGTACGGAAAGAATGGGTACAATGCCCAGCAGCAGTTCCTGCTCATTTTGAACAGGGCTCGCTGTCAGCGTCGCCGCGGTCTGTGCACATTTGAGACAGACGGCCGCCTGCCCAGCAGCTGCCGCTGTTGGTTTGGGACAGCAGTTGTTGTTGGGCATTGCACCCACTCTTTCCGTACCCATTCCGGCCTCCAAATGTGAGTGTCTCCCCGTTTCGCCCCCCCCCCCCCCCCCTCCCGCGGCCGCGTTCAGCCGTCCTCTTCCTCTCGCGCCGCCGGGCAGTGCGCATGCCGTGCCTGGGTGGCGACTTGAGCGCGCGTGCGGGCGGCCAGCCTGCCGCGCTGCGACGGAGCAGGCTCCGACCGCGTGCCGTGGAGCGTCCAGGCGCCTCGTCGCCGTCGCCCAGGCAGGCTTCGGCCGCGCCGTGCGTGCGCTGGCGCAGCGGCAGGCGGGTGCGTTGCGAGACGGGGTTTTGCCCAGTCTCGAGGGGCCACAGGCTGGCACAAAGCACTTCCGCCGCGATCAACCACGTCTGCTGCGCAAGGGAGGTGGGCGAGGATGCAATGCGCCCGCTCCTCCGAGCATCACCTCCCCCTCTCCTAGTCGGGACCCCCTCCTTCCGCGCGAGGTGCCCCTGCCCACCCGCTTACTCTCCCCCACCATGTGGGGAGGGACCGACACCTGGACGGTGGCACGCCTGAGCGTCGTCCGGCATTAGGTTCTTGGATGACGCTCGGGCTCACCACAGCCCAGGGGTCGGCCCCCTCGATGGGTTATCGATGGGGGTGGTCTACGTGTTTTGTAAACGTCAGCGTTTTGATTTGCGCTTGGACAGGTATATGTTGCATTCAATTCGAACAGCATTGGTTCAAGGCTGTAGTCCAAGCCAAGCGCACTGGTCTGTTGCACAGTAACTTGCCCACACTTATGTACTTGAGCACGAAACGCGAACCATTTCGATATGCGTACGCCACCCTTGCCCCTGACGCGGGGTAAGGGAGTAACACATTAAAAAATGGGCGTGGCGCGGGCACGCGGTCAAGGGGTGACGAAGAGGATTCAGGTTGATGGTGGTGCGGATGGAAAGCAAATGCGAGTGTAGAGCTGGAAGTTCCGCTCACCAAGGGGGGTAGTCCGACCGAGGCCAGCTCAGGGGCAGGGAGGACCTGACGGGCTTCCCTGGTGGCCTCCTCCTTCCCCCTCCCTCCCTGGCGATCCCCAGTCTGGCTCAAGCTCGCCCAGCCCAGGACGCCCCAGACCGCCGCCCGCCGCTGCGTTCCAGACCCCCGCGTTGCGCCCCCCCCTTTCCCCCCCTGGCCGCAATGCTTTTTTCCTGCGAGCGCGTCTGTGGCGCCCGCGACCCGGCGACGGACACGGTCCGGATCGGCCTCCCGCTGGGCGCGGCGGAGTCGGCGCAGGCCCGGCAGGAGTCCCCGGGCGCGGAGCGGGAGCCCGTCGCGGCGGCGGCGGAGCAGGCGGAGCAGGAGGGCGCCAGGCGCCGCGCCGAGGAGGGCGAGCGCCGCACAGCGGAGGAGGAGGAGCATCAGGAGGATGGAAACACACACAGACAGTCACAGCCACCATGAATCGTCGACCCCCAGGCAACCATGGCCAGCCATGGGAGGTGAGGGGGAAGGCGAGGACCCAGAAAATATGAGGACCTATATTTGAATCCTGGGACCTGTGTTTTTTGTTGTGTGTGCCCTTGGGCCCCCTTGGATTAAGTCGGGCCTGTCCGTCTACAGGAGGAATATTAAAAAATAGACGACAAATGGTTCGGGGACGGTTTTCGTGACTGTGTTTGAGCATTGTTTGAGCATGTTGCTGGCTCTTTTTAGAATTTTCGTGCAAATCCCCCTGCAGGGGACAGGCCCGACCTAACCCTTGAACGAGGAGGAATGGCGCCGCGCCGAGGCGGAGCTGCGCCGCCTCGCGCGGCTCGAGGAGGAGGAGCTGCGCCGCCTCGCGCGGCTCGAGGATGCGGCCCGCGCGCGCGCGGAGGCGGCGGGCCGCGGGGCGGAGCTCGCGGAGCGCGGGCGCCGCAAGCGGCAAGTCGGGAAACGTCCCTCTACAGGGGGAACACTCAAAATTAGTGAAACACGATGTGTTTTCGTTGTTCTTTTAAACGTAGAAATTATAATACAACAAGATACTAATAGTACAAAATGTGCTTGAATGTCTTTTGGCTATTAGTTTAATTTTCTCTTCTGGGGTCCGCACGTCCCTCTGCAGTTTTGATGTTCTAACCTACTTCAGCTTTGACCACCAGAAAGAATTTCGAGCACCAAGGGAGTACCGAAAACTTGAGGGTTTTCACGAGTCGGGCCCTGGGTGACACTCGTTCGGCACTGTTTCGGCACTGCTTCGACATCTTTTCCACACTTTTCCGGGTGCTCGAATGTTTGTTGGGGGATGTGGGAGCAACAGAACTCGACAGGAGGAAATTCATACATAGTGAGAATATGAGACTCTTTTTTATCTTGATTCTGCTTGAAGTTGTGTTGACTATTGCTTCGTTTTTTCTTACAGAGTCCGCCTGTAGGGGGACATGCCCGACCGAACGCGAGCGGGAGGAGGCGCTGGCGGCGCAGGAGCGGCGCGCGCGGGTGCGAGCCTTCCTGCGGGCGGAGGGCTTCGTGGACGTCGGCGTCCCGAGGCGCAGGCTGCTCCGGAGGAGCTACCCGCTGCACCGCGCAGCTGAGCTCGGGAGCGGTCAGATGGTGGAGCTCCGGGGTCTGGGCCTCCGAGATGGGGTCGGAGTAGACGGGGTCGGAGGATTGCGCCGCATCGCCGATGCATCGCCGATGCGGCTCGATGTGCAGCCCGATTTGCTTCCCGCCGACGTCGCCGATGCATCGCTGACGTCCTCGAGGTATCGCCGGCACATCGCCGATGCATCGGCGATGCGGCGCGACCCTCCGACCACATCCACTCCGACCCCATCCAGGAGGCATCGAAGGGGAGGAAGAAGTACCGCCGCCACCCTGGCCTCGCAGTGTCGCCTGTCGGGGGCCTCCCGGGAGGCCTTCGTCGCCGCGGCTGGACTCGCCTCGGAGTCCTGGTCGGAGCGTGCCCCAGGGAGAGGCCCGTGGAGTGGCGGTGTCGGTGCCCTTGGCTCAATTCGGGCCTCTACACGGGGAATATCCAAAAGTAGTCCAAAAATAGTATGGGGATTTGTTTTTTTACCATTTTGGCATGTTGTTTGTCTATTTTGTTATTTTTCGTCGAAGATCCCCCTGTAGGGGGACACGCCCGACTTAACCCTTGGCTTCCCCAGGAGTACCTGCTGGCGGAGGGCGCCGACCCGTCCCAGAAGAACTCCTCGGGCCTCACCGCCGCCCAGGTGAGCGCCGGAAGACAACGGGGTCGATTGCGTCGGGGCCTAAGAGACGGGGGTCAGTACAAACGGGGGTCAGCCAGGGCCTTGGATCCTACAGGATCCTGCGAAGACCTCCTCTGGCTGGCCCGGGTTAATCCAGAAGCCCTTATAATGAGGACGATAGAGGACGATTGAAAGCAGTCCCCTCGGAGTTGCCGCTCGTGGCCGCGAGGCGCCCGCGCATATTGGCTGACCTGGGTTTGCGAAGCCCTGCGTTGCAGTTTTTGCTTTCCTGCATTGCAGTTTTTGGTTTCCGGCTGACCCTTGTCTGGATTGACCCGGGTCAGAAGATCCCCGATTGTGCCGACGTTGGCGCGTAAGCTTCCCGCGTAAGGCGGCGCGTGAGCTGAAGTCGGGCATGTCCCTCTCCAGGAGGAAGATTCGAGAATCTTTAGAACAAAAAAAGCAGAACGAGTCTGGTGAAGATTCTTCGTGATCATTTGGCCAGGTTTGACGCTGTTTTGACTGTTTTCTTTTTTCTCACAAAATCCGCCTGTAGGAGGACATGCCCGACCTAACGTAAGCTTCCCGCGTAAGATGGCGCGTAAGCTCCCTCGTCTCCAATTTGGCTTGCCGCCGTCGAGTATGGTCGCTATGCCATCTCGCGTAAGACCCGCCGTTTCTTGTCGTCGCTCAGGTGGCAACGAAGAAGAACAGGGGGGACTCCCACGCAGCCGCCCTGAGAGCCCTCGGCGGCGCGTGATTCGCCCGCTCCTTCAGCGGCACGCGAGCGAGAGATCAGCATCCTTGTAAGTTGGCCTTGTCCCTCTACAGGAGGAGTATTATCTAATACCGAAACATAGTCAGAAAATAGTCAGGGGACGGTCTTTCGATTATTGTTTGATTATGCATTGAATATGTGTGGTCATTCGTCGTCCAAAATCCGCCGGTAGGAGGACATGCCCGACCTAGGCATAATTCTGCGGCCCCCGCAGCTTTCCAAGCGGGCGGCAGCCGGAAGCGGTGCCGAAAAGCTTTCCCGTGCCCGGTGAAGCGGCCCTTTGCACCGGAATCGCGCTCCTGCCGCCAGACGAGCGGGCTCGTGCAGGGGCGCCACCTCGTTGCCCGTGGTGGAAGTGGAGGCCGCGCACGGCGTGCAAGCAATGAGCGCTCCTCCCTCCCTGGTGGCCTTGTCCCCGTTGGAGACGGCTGGGTTTCTGAGGGGGGCCCAGTATTGAGTCGGGCCTGTCTTTCTACAGGAGGAAATCCAAACATAGTATGAAGAATACAAAAAATCGGGTGGCGATCTTTTGTATACTATTTTGGGCTATGTTTGATTATTCCCCACATCCTGAGTGGGTTTCTTGTTTTCCTGGACCACCCTCTCCTTCTCCTTCTCCTTCTCCTCCGTCTCCTGTTCCTTCAGTTATACCATACCATACCTGCTATACCCTACCAACACCATGCGTATTAGAATCTTACGTATTGTATTATACCATACCATAACCTACCATACCATTCGTAAACTATACCACACCTGCCATACCATACCTATCGTATTACCTGCCATCCCCTACCATACCATACGAATTATAATATAGCACACCTGCCAAACCGTACTAGTTATCAAGTTTCGTGCCCCTCCCACCTCTCCAGAGAGGCCCCGCCTTAGCGAGGAGGGCATCCCAAAACCATACTATTTACAATGTGTCGGGCCCCCCCCCTAGCCTTTAGGAGGCCCGCCTGAGCGAGGAGGGTACTCCAAAACTATAGCATTTGCTAGCTTTCGTGCCCCTTCCAGCCCTCCAGGCAGGCCCCGCCTGAGCGAGGAGGGTATCACCAAACCGTACTATTTTCAAGGTTTCGTGCCCTTCCAGCCCTCCCGGTAGTCCCCGCCCGAGCGAGGAGGTTACCCCAAACCTAAAGTATTTACCAGGTTTCGTGCCCCTCCCAGCCCTCAGGGAGGCCCCGCGCGAGTGAGGAGGGTATCCCAAAACCATACTATTTTCAAGGTTTCGTGCCCCTCCCCCCTCTCCAGGGAGGCCCCGCCCGAGCGAGGAGGGTATTCCAAAACCATACTATGTATAAGGTTTCGTGCCCCTCCATCTCTCCAGGGAGGCCCCGCCCGAGCGAAGAGGGTGTCCCAAAACCATACTGTAAATCAGGCTTCGTGCCCCTCCCACCCCTCCAGAGAGGCCCCGCTTGAGCGAGGAAGGTTTTCCCAAACCATATCATTTACAAGGTTTCGTGCCCCTCCTACCTCTCCAGGGAGGCCCCGCCCGAGCGAGGAGGATATCCCCAAACCATACTGTGTAGAAGGTTTCGTGCCCCTCCCAGCCCTCCAGGGAGGCCCCGCCTGAGCGAGGAGGGTATCCCAAAACCGTGTTGTGTATAAGGTTTCGTGCCCCGCCCACTCTTCCAGGGAGGCCCTGGCGCCGAACGACGTCGACACCATCCTCCTCGCCAACCATTGCCATCATCACCGCTTCTTTCTTCCACGCCTTCTTCTCCTTCCTCCCCGCCTTATCGGCATTCCTGCTCTTGCTCGCCCGAACTGCCCATTCTGCACTGCTGAGGGTAATGCTGCCGAGCGCGGCCTCCTTTGACCGCGTCCTACACGTCCATCCTCCCCCCCCATGCTTCTTCCCCTCCTCGCCTCCGTCGGCCTTTCCATGATAATATATTGACATCGTAGGCCTTATTTTTGTTGGCACTGCTTTTATGCCCTCGTGATCCCGCCAACCCCGTAACATCCTGATGTGGGGAACTCCGTTAGCATAATTTTTGGATTTGTTTTTCAAGTTTCCTCCAAAATCTGCCTGTAGGGGGATATGCCCTACCTAAGCCCAGTAGTGGGTTCAGTGAACAGACGGGGGGGGGGGGGCAGGTCTGACCGCGGCGCTGGGTTTAAGAACTCTTTCTGTACCTCTATATTCCTGGGGTCCGTCTTCAGGCCCCTGGGCCGTCACAATAGCGGATCTAGGGCAACAGCTGCACCAGGTAAACGTTTTTGTATGTTTTCTTTTGCCGATCGGCGCGGGCCCTCGCACCCCTCCCCCCCCATGGAGTGGGTCTTTGCTGTTTTTGGCGCCTGTTTCGAGCAGGTGGAGTCTCCCCCAGAGGCAGCACTCTTGCAAACGGTCGCACTATGCAGAGGTCTGGAGCCAGACCCCCTCCCCCTTCCGCCCAATGTCGAAACGCCGAATACAAAAAAAAACGCCCACCAGATGGACCCCAGGAGGGATCCAGGGAGCGATTTTCAGCGGGTTCGGCCTCGTCCCGTCCAATTGGTTTATTTGCTGGGCCCTCGTCCGCCTCAGAGCCACCGGCCGCCTCCAGGCTCCCTGTACTTCCCAGTCGCTTAAGCACGGCAACGAGAATCTGGGCGGGACCGCGGAGGGTCCACTGCCCACCGGCCGTGGGCCAGGCCTCCTTCTCCTCCTCCTCCTCCTCCTCCTCCGCCTCCTACTCCGTGCTCCTATTCCTCATTCCTCATCCGTCTCCTACTCCTCCGTCCTCCTACTCCGTACTCCCTTCCTCACCCTTTTTCCTTCCTTCCCTCCTCGGACACTTGCACGGCGTTCGAGCGCGTCTCGGTAAAGCCACGGACACTTGCAGTCGCAACGGTTCCCGCTCCCCACACTCGGAGGAGTGACACATCAGTTGAGCTTGAGGTTAAGACAGGTGTGAGTTTTCGGGCAATGCGTCTGGTATCGTCCATGCGAGTCGTTGGCGCGCTCCGCGCGCCAGGGAGGTGTGTCCAGCGCCGATACACAAAAAACCCGCGTGGATGTCCGAACGTGTATGTCATGTAGTTCTTTACGCCCTATATGATGTATGCTTCTACTCTTTGCCCGTTCTCCGCTTCGTTCGATTGCAATGCCTGGGAGATTAAATTCATCGCTGGCGCTGCTATACCCGTGGTCGGGAAGCAGACCAATCCAGCATAGTCTTGCGCACTCCTGCCTAATCCCGCGCAGCTCAGCTTTATCCGACTTCGTCTGGCCTGACTGAGCCAGGGCCAATGTGTTACAATGGCACGCCAATTTGGCTGGATCGTTCCTACGGGGACCTCCCAGCAGCTCCCTCTTACTACTCTGACTCCTTCTCCTTGTGCGTCTTCCGCTTCCGTCCTCCTCCTCCTCCTCCTCCTCCTCCTCCTCCTCCTCCTCCTGTGCCAATCTTGCCTCAGCTCATCTGCAGTCCCGCGCGAGGCTCCAGCGCCTTGCCGCATCGTCTCGGCTGTCGTTTCGGAGGGCACGGGCAGGGGGGAGGGGACCGGCGCAGGAGGGGAGGCATCTACCCACAGCCGTCCGTGAATTGCCGATTGGAGCGTCGGCGGGGGGCGCGGAAACTGTAGTAGAAGGGGGGGCACCGACCCAGAGTCCCCCTCTCATCGCCGATCGGGGCTTTGGCGGGGAGAACGAAACAACCGGCCCAGGAGGGTAAGCATCGACGCAGAGTTGCCCACTCCTCGCCGGTCGGGGCTTCGGTGGGGGGGAGCTGGCGCAGGAGGGGAGACATGGACCCAGACGCAGCCCACTCATCAATGATCGGGGCGTCAGCAGGGGAAGAAAACTGGCGCAGGAGGATGAGCATCGACCTATAGAGTCGCCCGCTCATCGCCGATCGGGGCTTCGGCGGGGGGGGGAATCGGCGCAGGAGGGGGGAGCGTCGACCTGTAGAGTCGCCCACTCATCGCCGATCGGGGCTTCGGCGCCGGTGCCCAGGAACGACGCGGCACCGTCACCGTGGGCCCACGTCGCCGATCTGTCTGCGATCGCGCCGCCGCGGCCACGGGCCGGTGCTGCCCACCCCCCCGTCCGGCGGCCCCGGTCATGCAGGGGCGAGGGGCGCGAGACGCTGAAAGAAGGAACGGCTCGGGTTCGAGCGGGGCTCGCCGTTCCCAACGGTCCGTCCATGGCTCTTCCTCTGGCACTCCCGGTGCACCACTGGGGGCCAACGAGGCGGCGTCGTTCCTCGTGCAGAGCTCCTTGGCGGCCACAGCCTCACTGTCAGACGGCCCGCGCGAGGGCCGCCAGGCCCCCCCCCCCACGAGCTAGCCCGCCTCTCCCACCCGGCCGCCCCCCTCACTGTCTGGCGATCGCAAACATGGATCAGGGGGGCGTGGATGAGCGACGGGTCCTGTTTCCATGGGAAACCGCGGATTTCCGCCGCCGGCCGAGGCGGCACCAGCCGCATTTTGGGCAGGGCGAACCTCCCCCGATGCGTGGATTTGGCGACCGCGCGCCAGATCCATGGATCGCTCATCCATGTTTGCGCGCCTCCGACACCGGGGGAACAGACATCTGCCGATGCCGCTGCTCCCCGGGTCTCTCCTGGGGCGCGCCCTGGCCCCTGACCAGGGTCTCGAGGTGAACCCAGCCGTGGCGACGAGGCAAGCGCAGCGGCATCGGTGTCTGCACCGTCTCTGCATCGCCCGAGTCGCCCGCGCGCGCGCGCCGAAAAACGCCATGATCTCGCGCGGGCTGCTCCGCGGCGCGCGCCGGCTGGCGTTGCAGCAGCACCAGCCCGCCCGCGCGCCGTTGTCGCCGGCGCCCATGGCAGCCCTCCGCGCCTTTGGCGGCCACGGCGACCCGCGGGCGCACCTGAACCCGGACGGCACGAGGCCGGAGGCGGAGGACGCCGAAGACTACCACGACCCGGACCCCATGGACCACGTGCCGCGGCAGATCATCGTGGAGGAGCGGGGCCAGAAGTGGATCAAGAGCCACGACCCCCCGAAGTCCATGCTCGAGATCTGGGAGATGCCGCAGGAGAACCTGCCATTCTGCCCGAGGCTGCGCCTGCACATCTGGGGCAACTACAAGCTGCTGATGAAGGCTGAGTACCTGTTCTTCTACATCCCCACCATTATCATCCTGGGCCTGGTCATCCCCGCCTTCACCACCATCTACGCACTGGAGGAGGCCATGTGCACCACGATGGTCGTCAAGGTCACCGGCAGGCAGTGGTACTGGGTGTACGAGGTGGAGTCCCCCACTGACGACGGCGACGACGACGAGTGAGGGGCGCCCGCCGCTGTGGGACGGCGCCCCCCCCTCCCCTCTCTGCCTGCGGTGCTCGGCGCGCGGACCCCGCCGCGGAGCTCCCTCCTCGCCGCCCTCCTCTCGAGCAACAGAAAAGGTATGTGCACAGTGGAGACCCATGCCAGGAAACGCCCTGCTTGCCTCCAGGGTGCCCTGGGTTTTTTTACCTACTAACAGCTTTTGCTGATAGGTTTCTAGTGGTCTCAAAAGAGAGCATCATGACTCCTCAGGGGGGTCTGGGCGGGACCCGGACAGGCTGCCGCCGCGGCTGTCGCCGCACTCGTTTTTCGCAAACAGTCACACACTTCGTGCTCTTCGACCTCCCAGAACTCCATTCCCGGGCCACATTCTGAATGCCCGGAGCCAACTGTAGGCCACTTCGTGCTCTTCGACTTCCCAGAACTCCATTCCCGGGCCACATTTTGGATGCCCGGAGCCAACTGTAGGCCACTTCGTGCTCTTCGATTTCCCAGAACTCCATTCCCGGGCCACATTTTGGATGCCCGGAGCCAACTGTAGGCCACTTCGTGCTCTTCAAGTTCCCAGAACTCCATTCCCGGGCCACATTTTGAATGCCCGGAGCCAACTGTAGGCCACTTCGTGTTCTTCTAGTTCCCAGAACTCCATTCCTGGGCCACATTTTGAATGCTGAGGCAGGCTGATGCTGCGGCCGAGGCAGGCTGAGGCTGAGGCAGGCTGAGGCTGAGGCCGAGGCTGAAGGCAGACTGAGGCTGAGGCTGAAGCAGGCTGAGGCTGAGGCTGAGGCAGGCTGAGGCTGAGGCTGAGGCTGAGGCTGAGGCAGGCTGATGCTGAGGCAGGCTGAGGCTGAGGCTGAGGCTGATGCAGGCTGAGGCTGAGGCAGGCTGAGGCTGAGGCCGAGGCTGAAGGCAGACTGAGGCTGAGGCTGAAGCAGGCTGAGGCTGAGGCTGAGGCAGGCTGAGGCTGAGGCAGGCTGAGGCTGAGGCTGAGGCAGGCTGAGGCTGAGGCTGTGACTGCGACTGCCGTTGCCGCTGCGACTGTCATCGCGAATGCGACTACGACTGCGAGAACAGCAGAATTCTACAACTGGATTTTCATCTGAATCTTAAGGGGAATGCTTTCATATATGCTTCTACACATCGCTGTTAGGTTGCTTTGCCGGGATAATTTGGGCTTCAGAGGTTTTGTTAATGGAACAAAAAGTTACATAAACATAACAACTCGGAGGTCCGCGCGGATTTCTCGGATCGGCGCTGGGGGCCCCCTGGCGGCGCCTCCAGCGCCGCCCCTGGCGCGCGGCGCTCCGCGCGCCAGGGAGAGGGGGGTCCAGCGCCGATCCGAGAAATCCGCGCGGACCTCCGAGTTTTTATATTCATGTCACGTTTTGTTCCCCTACTTGTGATGGAAAGCGTGACGCTCCCACACCAATAATCAATGGACGTCCTGGGTTCTCGGGGTTGGGATCGGTCCTCACTGTAATCATGAACGTTCGCCGCCCCGCGCGGAGTTCTTGGATCGGCGCTGGGCGTCTCCGGCGCCGCCCCTGGCGCGGTCTGCGCGCCGGGAGGGGGGGGATCCAGCGCCGATCCGAGAAGTCATCCCGCCCCGCCGCCCCGGGAGCGGCAGCCCAGGGACGCCGAGGTCGGGCGATGGCGCCTCTTTCTTGTCGTCTTCTGAGCACACAGCTCTGCAATCTGGTGCGGAGTGAAAGCCACACGCGGACGGGAGGCGGACATCTGCCGGACAGGGTCAGGGGAGAGGGGGGAGCAGTATTCGTATTGTGTATTTGTGCAGGTGGGCAGGACTGTGGGAAGGAGGAAGAGGAGGAGGGGGGGAAAACGAAGGAGGAGGAGGAGACGAGGAGGGAACTTGCCTGGCATGTCCTCACAGGAGAGGGTACGTTTTCATACTTTTGGAACCGCCTCTAGAAGAGGGGGGGGAGGCGCAGCGCGAGGGGGAGAGGGGAGGGATATGAGCAGAAGGAGGAGAGAAAAAGGAGGAGGAGGAGGAGGAAGGAGGAGTAAGAGGAGGAGATACATTGAGGAGGGGAAGGAGGACGATCAGGAGGGGGGAGGGGCAAACGGATGAAAATAATAACAGGAAATGGTGAGGATGATGATGACGATGATGATGATGCTGTTGATGATGCTGATGATGCTGATGATGATGATGCTGATGGTGATGATGGTGTTGTTGTTGGTGGTGATGATGAGGCTGATGGCGATGTTTATGATGACGAGGATGGTTAGGATGATGCTGATGATGATGATGATGAGGAGGATGAGGGTGATGATGATGGTGTTGATGATGATGCTGATGGTAATGATGCTAATGATGACGAGGGTGATGCTGCTGATGATGATGATGAGTATGCTGATGACGATGATGATTGTGACGCTGATGATGGTGATGGCGATGGTGATTGTGATGCTGATGATGATAATGCTGATGATGATTATGATGATGCTGATGATGATGCTGATATTGATTATCATGATGATGACGTTGCTGATGTTGGTGATGATGTTGATGCTGATGATGATGATGATGATGATGATAGTGCTGCTGATGACGATGATGATGCTGATGATGTCAATAATGATTGTGATGGTTGCGATACTGATGATTATGAGGATGTTGATGAGCTGATGATATTCATGCTGCTGATGATGATGATGCTGATACTGCTGATGATGATGCTGATGATGATGTTGGTGACGATGATGATGATAATGATGATGATGATGATGATGATGATGATGATGCTGATGATGATGATGATGATGATGATGATGATGATGCTGATGCTGATGCTGATGCTGATGCTGATGCTGATGCTGATGCTGATGCTGATGGTGATGGTGATGGTGATGGTGATGGTGATGGTGACGAGGAGGGGGAGCAGGAGGAGGAGGAGGAGGAGGAGGAGGAGGAGGAGGATAAGGAAGGGGATGAGGGTGAGGAGGAGGAGGAGGAAAAGGAGGAGGAGGAGGAGGAGGAGGAGGAGGAGGAGTGCGTCGTTTGCTCGTGGAGTGCCCTGGCGCGCCTCAGGTCACCGAGCGGGAGGAGGGGGGGCGAGCCCGTCGGGCGGAGAGGGGAGCTGAAGCAGGAGGAGGAGGTGGAAGGGAGGGGGGATCAAGGGGCTCGGAAGCAGGGGAAGACGGAGGGGAAGAAGGAGATCGGCGAAGGAGAGAGCGAGAAAGAGGGCGAGAAGCAGGAGCAGCAGGAGCAGAGCAGGCGGTGCTTGGGGAGGAGCTGCGGCCCTCGCTCTTCCAGTTCCTGGACGGCCTCGGGCTGAGCCTTCCGGACCCCGTGCCTTGTGGTGGCCGGGGCCGCTTGGGCCGCTCCTCCTCCTCCATCGGCTTCTCCTCCTCCAGACATCGAGGGTCGATGACCTTGGTTGGCGTCCTCGCGTCGAGCTTGCGGCTTCCCGCAGGGCAAGGATGAGAAGGGGAGGAGGTTGAGGGAGAGAGCGAGAGAGGGGAAGAGGGATATAGGGGAGGGAGGAGGGGGTGGAGGGGAGAGGAGGAGGAGGAGGATGAGGAGGAGGAGGAGGAGGAGGAGGAGGAGGAGGAGGAGGAGGAGGAGGAGGAGGAGAAGGAGGAGGAGAAGAAAGAGGAGGCGGAGAAAGGAGGAGGAGGAGGAGGAGAATGGGAGGAGAAGGCGGAGGAGGATGAGGGGGGGGGAGGGTCAGACAAGAGAGGAGTGGAGGAGGAGGAGGAGGAGAGGAGGAGAGGAGGAGGAGGAGGAGGAGGACGAATTGCGTGGGGGAGGTGGAGAAGTGAGGAGGGGAATGAGGAGGAGGAGGAGGAACAGGAGGAAGAGGAGGAGGAGGCGGAGGAGGAGGAGGTAATTAGCGGGCGGGCGGTGGAGGAGGCAGAATGAGGAGAATGATGAAGAGGTGGGGGAGGAGGAGGAGGAGGAGGAGGAGGAGGAGGAGGAGGAGGAGGAGGAGGAGGAGGAGGAGGGGGAGAGGAGGAAGAGGAGGAGGAGGAGGAAGATGAGGAAGAGCAAGAGAGGAGGAGGAGGAGGAGAGGAGGAGGAGGAGGGAGAAGAAACGGGGAAGGAGGAGAAGAAGGAGGGCAGGGGGGAGGATGAGGTTGAGGAGGAGAGGGAGGGGGGTTGTCATTCCGCTACTTCGCTACTTCGTGAAAGCTGGAGTAGATTTCGGGCCGCGAACACATCCCGTCACGTAGGCAGCTCGCCACCTGCGACGGGGAGCCAGGAAGAACATGATCCCGCAGAGCCTGCAGAGGGCAAGTTGTCTTGCATAAGAGCTGCAGTGGAAGGAGGAGGAGGAGGAGGAGGAGGAGGAGTAGGAAGAGAGGGAGGAGATAGAGCCATAGGAGGAGGAGGAGGAGGAGGAGGAGGAGGAGGAGGAGGAGGAGGAGGAGGCGTGAGAGGGAGATGGAGGAGCCGGGATGTCGCCGGTCGACAGGTTGGGGCGGTTATGCTCTACGAAAAGAGCTCACGACTCCCAGGCCCTGAGTGTCCTAGTGCTCCCTGGGTATCCGCTTTGCGTCGCGTTTGTTCTCCAGCGAATGGCGACTGCATACAGTACCGTGTGCCCTGCCCCAAGGAAACCGGTGCTCCCTGGGTATTCCGCCTCGCGATCTCGGATGGGCATCGCTCGAAGACAAATCATGGCAAGAGGAGTCCAAGCAGGAAATCGTGGACGGGGGGTCCAGGAGCCGCGATGTGCTGGACAACAGGCGATCCCTTCGTGTTCCTTCCCTTCTCTAGACCTTCCAGATGGGCTCGGAGCAGACGGGGTCGGAGGATCGCGCCGCATCGCCGATGCATGGCCGATGCGGCTCGACGCGGAGCCCGACTTCCTCCACGCCGACGTCGCCGATGCGTCGCTGGTGCGTCGCCGACGGCCATGCATCGGCGGCGCGGCGCGATGCTCCGGCCCCATCTACTCGGACCCCGTCCAGGGGGGCTCCACGCCCCTCCTCCTGTTCGGGCACTCCGCGCCGAGTCCGTGCGGCACGCGCCTCTGCTCGGGCCTCCCTTGCCAGGCGAGCCGCGGAGGCCCTATCTGGCCCCAGCGGGCCCCTCGAGGTCGGAAGACTCGCCCGGAGGATTGGCTCCCCTCTCGAGACCCGCGGACGGGCGAGCGGCGATGCAGGCAACGGCGATGCAGGTTTCGGTCGTGTGGGAACCCGTGGCTCGTGCTTTCCTACCATTCGCTGTGTCGTGTTCGCCGGATCCATTCGCAGATTGGGAACTTCGGACAGTGTGGTTCGTGTTTCCTGCACGTTGGTCCCCAACATCGCCGTTAAGCAAGCAACATCGCCGTTAGGCCGACCTTGGAAGACTGCACCTGCTTTCTCCCGTGAAGTACCCTGCAAAAGCCTCGGTGCCCCCAGAACCATCCTCGTCGCCCCTCTTCCCGTTTTGCCCTGCTCGCTCCGCCTCACGCCTCCCGTGGATCGTGGCCTGCAGGCCGCCCCAAAACGGTGCTCACACGATCAGGCGTGTCCAAGCCCTCCAGGCCACACTCCTCTCGCCTCCCGGCGATGACGCGGACAAGGCGCTTTCTTTTCGTCCGATGGCGTTTGCGAAGCCCTTCGTGAGGCGCGAGCTCTGCGGCCTGGCGTGCTCGTCAGGGCCGCATGCCCCCCCCCGGCGTGCTTCCGCCGGCCTGCCATCTGTCCTAGGTCGCGGCACCCACCTCGGGGGCCCGGGTCCTGGCCCTGCCATTTCCCAGCCCTTCTTTTCCGCCTTCCGTCATGCGAACCCCTCGGGGCCTCCCCCGACGAGAACACAACTCGCTCCGCGCCCTCGTCAGGTGTCCCGTCGAGACGGCCATGCCATCTCGCACAGCCTGGCTGCCTGCGCCCCCAACCTCGTGGGCCACTGCAACGCCTCATCCTCCTTCTCCTCCTCAGACCATGGCGAGGTCCGTGGCCGCCATCCTGCTTACCACCCCCTCCGCAATGTCCTTGGAGGTAGCCCTGGAATGCGTCACTGTTCCAGCATCCCTACCGTTGCACGAGGGCGGCGTTCTTGAACGCCGCGCACAGGGCGGACGCGCCGCCGGACCTCATGCTGTGGGAACCGAGGTCGTTAAGGTCCACTCGAGGAGGAGGAGGAGGAGGAGGAGGAGGAGGAGGAGGAAAGGCGTGTCCGACTCGGTCGCCAAGCCATTTCGGCGCCCTCTCGACCCAAGCGCTGACACAGACCGTGCCGCGCTCCTCTGTTGATCGCGTCGTTGATGCCGTGCCGCCGCCGTGCGATTCCCCACTCTTCTGGAGGAGCCAAACCATCTCCTGGCGGGTCCTCTGGCGGCGGGGAAGGTGACTCTCCGCTCGCAGCCTCCTCCGCTGCGGTCCCTGCGCGCGCGCTGCGGTCCCTGGGATCGGCATCAACCTAACATACCAATACTATGTGTGCGTCGCCTCCCCACGGGCGACGCGCGCACCGAGAAATCTCATACTACGTAGCACCCCGCAGTTGCGGATCATTGTGAGGGGGCGGCGAGGACGTCGTCAGTCTGCGAGGCTCTGAAGAAGCCTGCCGCAGGCGCCTACCTTTCACAAATGTAGTGATCCCGCCGCAGGCGCCGATTTTTTCGTTGAAGCAATGTGGGTGGATCGCAGGGTGGGTCGCGGGTGGGTCGCGGGTGGGTCGCGGGTGGGTCGCGGGGTGGGTTGCGGGGTGGGTCGCGGGTGGGTCGCGGGGTGGTGCGCGGGTTGGGGCGCGGGGTGGGTCGCGGGGTGGGTCGCGGGTGGGTCGCGGGGTGGGTCGTGGGGTGGTTGGTCGCGGGGTGGGTCGCGGGCGGGTCGCGGGGTGGGTCGCGGGGTTGGCCGTGGGGCGGGTCGCGGGGTTTGTCGCGGGCGGGTCGCGGGGGGGACGACGACAACAACAGCAACAACAATATAACAAGCAGAATCCCCAGCACGGATCCCCTTTTCGGCCACGCACCCAGGGACAATGAATGACCGCTCGGCCCCCTCACTCTGATATGCGTCGTGGCGGGCGCTTTCTGGCCACACCGCTCGGGAAGCGATACACTGCAAGGTGGGTCTACGATATGTTCGGGTCGGTCGCGCGCCTCGAAGGAGGACACATAGTATTAGTATGTCTCTGTGCGTCCCGTGGATCTCGAAGAGGTCCTCCTGGGGAGCCTCGCGCTCGGGTGGTCGGTCCACCCGAGAGGGGCGTGGGGCCAGGGGTGGCTGCGCTCGGTTGCGTGGGGCGTTGGGCCTCCTCGCCCTCCTGCGCCACCGCGTCGCTGCCGAGCGGCTTGTCCATGTCGTAGAACTCGTAGGAGAAGTAAGTCGGGCACGTCCCTCCACAGGAGGAACATCAAACATAGTATGGGGACAATGGTTTAAAACATTTGTCTGGTTATGTTTGAGCACTGATTGAGTATGTCTTATGCTTCGTCCAAAATCCGCCTGTAGGAGGACACGCCCGACCTGATAGTAGTAGCCGTCGTACAGTCGGGACTGATTAGTAGGTCGACCCTGCCAAATCGAGGGTACCCTTGTGTCGTGAGCTTCGCAACCCATGCCCTCCTATATTCCTGCGGCAGTGTGGCCCTTCGAAGGGCCCTGTGCCCTCTCGCGTGTCCTCTCCGATGAGCCCCGACTGTAGAGCATGGAGCCCGGAGCCGAGCGCTTCGTCTCCACGGCCTGCTGCATCTCCGCGCGGCTGCCGGGGCGCTCGCCCAGACGACCGTCCATGGCTGGTGGCGGACCCGTCGCCGAAGGCCCTGGCAGCATGGGAGCTGCCGCGACGCCCGCGGGTGCGTCCTCGCGGGCCTCGGGCGTCGCCGGCGGCAGTTCATCCCTCTTCTCCTCTGTGGAGGGTTTCTCCGAAGAGCTTAGGCGACCCCTCCTCCTCCTCCTCCTCCTCCTCCTCCTCCTCCTTCTACTTCTCCTCCTCCTCCTCCTCCTCCTCCTCCTCCTTATACTTCTCCTCCTCCTCCTCCTCCGCCTCCTCCTTCTACTTCTCCTCCTCCTCATTCTCCTCCTCCTCCTCCTCCTCCTCCTCCTCCTCCTCGGGTCGCCTACGGCCCTGGTGGAAACCGTGCACTCCTCCGAAGAAGCACCCGACGCCTTCCCCTCGGCGGCGCTTGCCGCCTCCTCCTTCTCACGCTCATGGCCGTCACTTAAACCCGCGGCGTAGGACGCGGCAGCTGAGAAGTTTGCGTCGATGCCGATTCCCAGCGACGCGTCCAGCCAGCCCAGGGCGGTCACCACAGCGGTCGCCACTGTGCACTCCAGGGGGCACACGTGGCGCATCGCGGCGAGCTAAGGCCCCCGCCCTCTCACACCGAAAAAGAGGCATGCCTCAGGGAGGTGCTGAACCAAAGAGCAGTGCAAGAGAAGGAGAGCGGGAACAGGGCACAGGAGAGGCTACGTACGGAACCCTCAATAAGATCGAACACCCAATCCGCAGCCCGCCTGCGTCCTCCTGCTCTCGTGCATGATCCTCTTGATCCGGCACTTTCTCTGTTTCCTACTCCTGTCTTCCCTTCCTTCCTGTCTTCCCTCCTTCCTGGTCTCTCTCCTCTTTGGCGCCCGACTCTGGCGCCCTCGCCTCGCCTCGCCTCCTTCCTGGTCTCCTCTCCTCCTCCTCCTCCTCCTCCTCCTCCTCCTCCTCCTCCTCCTCATCCTCCTCCTCCTCCTCCTCCTCCTCCTCCTCCTCGGCCCCCCTCTTCATTCTACTCTCTCGCTCCCCCTTCCAGCCTTTCTCCCCCATCCTCTCCTCCGCTCCTCTCCTCCTTTTCCCTGCCTGTGCCTCCCTCCTCCTCTCCGCCTCCCTCCCTCCTCCCTCTTCCCTCCCTCCTCCTCCTCCTCTCCTCCTCTCCTCCTCTCTCCTCCCTCCTCCTCCTCCTCCTCCTCCTCCTCCTCCTCCTCCTCCTGCTCCTCCTGCTCCTCCTCCTCCTCCTCCTCCTCCTGCTCCTGCTCCTGCTCCTCTCCTCCTCGCTACTCCTCCTCGCGTCTCTTCCCCAGGCCTCGGCGCCTGCATTCGGCGCCGAAGGGGGGGGGGGGCGCCAGGCAGGGACGGCTGCCGCGCGGTCTTCTGCAGCGAGGGCTGCAGGAGCCGACCGCCTCCCGGCCCCGCCCCGTCCGCCTGTGCTGGTATGAAGGCGGGCGTGTCCCCTCTACAGGCAGACATTCAAACATAGGAGGCAAATCACTAGTCTTGGGACGTTTTTTTGGGGGGGGGATCTTTGTGTTGGGGGCTATGTTTCACATATGGCTATGCTTGAGCATGTGTTGGGTATGTTTCATTTTTCTTCCACGATCCGCCTGTTGGTAGCACATTCCCGACCTGATGCGAGTATGGTCAGGATCGCCTCAATTTCCCTCCCCCGGGCTCGAGGGCATTGAGCGGCAGCGACAGTGCCTCTGGGTTGGGTTTCGAGGAGGTCTCCATGGGGCTCTGCGGGGCCCTCTCTGGGCCAGCCCGAGGGAAGGGGAGGCGGCGAGGTTTGCTTCGCGTGTCGTGTCTTGGGCCCTCTCGGGGGCTGTGGTGGACTGGGCCTTTGGGGGCTGTACTGAGGCCATCCTGGACCTGCACAAGGCCGTCCCGGGGCAGCAGTGGTCTGAGCCAAACGAGTCCGCGGGCGCGCCCCCCCCCCCGAAATCGGCCCTTCCGCCAGGTCCTGGAGCTCGCCGTTGCATGGTCGTCCGCTGACACGATTGCGTTGAAGTGGTCCTCGCGGAGATTGAGGTATCTGGTGGAAGTTCGAGGCCGATTTCGGGGGGGGGGGGGGGGCCTTGCTCTGGAGGGGGACTCGCGCATATTGACGGTTCGGTAAAAGCGTGCGCCGCCCGTTTTTTGATGGTGGCCAGGTCTTCAGGGCCCCAAGAGAGGCTCAGGCAGAGTAGACAGCGCAACACAGGAAGCAGGGTACCAGACCGCTTCGCCGCCCGACCGTTCCGCCCCGACCGCCTCGCCCGAACCATTCCGCTGGGCACCGCCTCGCCCGCGCCGCCGCTTCGCCGGCGGAGCGTTTCGCCGGGCACCGCGCCGCGGCATGCCGCTCCGCAGGCAGGCCGCTTCGCCGGCCGACCGCAACGCCAGGGACTGCGCCGCCAGCGGGCCGTTTCGCCAGCGCACCCCATCGTCGTCGTTGTCGTTGTCCTTGCCCTCGTCGTCGTCGGTCCCGACGGCTTGTTTGCGCAGCCCGACCGCTTGATGAATCTAGTAGTTGGCGACCTCTCTTGCGTCGCTTCGGGCATAACGGAGGATGGGGAAGCATGGGAGGAGGGAAACTCGGTTGTGCGCAGCTGGGGTCGGCTCCGCCGCCAGGCGTTTTCCTCGATACTGAACCGAGATGATTCTGGGTCTCGTAGCTGGGGTCGGAGTAGATGGGGTCGGGGGATCGCGCCGCATCGCCGATGCATCGACGATGCGGCTCTATGCGGAGACCGATTTGCTTCACGCCGACGTCGCCGATGCATCGCCGATGCATCGGCGATGCATTGGCGATGCGGTGCGATCCTCCGACCCCATCTACTCCGACCCGCTCTGCTCCGACCCCATCTAGGAAGCCTCTAAGGATTCGCTAGCCCCCCCCCCGCCCCTCTCGTCTGACCCGATGGTGGACCCCCCTTAGCATTGCTTGGGGCGGCGCGTGGCGTAACGCGTGGCGTAAGCAAAACGCAGCCTCGCGACCTCGGAGGCTCTGGGCCGCCACGTCATTCCAGGCCCCTTAGACAGGGTCGGAACAGATGGGATCGGAGGATCGCGCCGCAGCGCCGATGCATCGCCGGAGCGGCTCCATGTCGAGGCCGACCTCCTCCGCGCCGACGTCGCTGAGGCATCGCCGGTGCATCGACGGTGCATATCGCCGATGCATCGCCGATGCACCGGTGCCAACATCGGCGATGCGGCGCGAGCCTCCGACCTTCGTCTGCTCGGACCCCCTCCTGTCCTCGGAGGCCTCCGAAGTCTCATGCTCGAGGCCTCCGGAGGGCGCCAGCCGCACGCCGAGGGTCGCGCAGGACGCCGGCAGCAGGCGGGGAGTTGCGCGCGGAGGAGGAGGAGGAGGAGGAGGAGGAGGAGGAGGAGGAGGAGGAGGAGGAGGAGGAGGAGGAGGAGGAGGAGGAGGAGGAGGAGGAGGAGGAGGAGGAGGAGGAGGAGGAGGAGGGAGGAGGAGGAGGAGGAGGAGGAGGGAGGAGGAGGAGGAGGAGGAGGAGGAGGAGGAGGAGGAGGAGGAGGAGGAGGAGGAGGAGGAGGAGGAGGAGGAGGAGGAGGAGGAGGAGGAGGCGGAGGAGGGAGGAGGAGGAGGAGGAGGAGGAGGCGGAGGAGGAGGAGGAGTAGGAGGAGAGGAGGAGGGGAGGAGGAGGAGGAGGAGGAGGAGGAGGAGGGAGGAGGGAGAGGAGGGGGAGGAGGAGGGAGGAGGAGGGAGGAGGAGGAAGGAGGGGAGGAAGGAGGAGGAAGGAGGAGGAGGAGGGAGGAGGAGGAGGGAGAGGAGGCGGAGGAGGAGGAGGAGGAGGAGGAGGAGGAGGAGGAGGAGGAGGAGGAGGAGGAGGGAGGAGGAGGAGCAGGAGGGGAGGAGCAGGAGGAAGAGGAGGAGGAGGAGGAGGAGGAGGAGGAGGAGGAGGAGGAGGAGGAGGAGGAGAGGGTTTGGCCTGAGCACAGGGATTTTGCTCGGCCGAGCCCCGTCGTGCTCGCTCCCGCGAGCCGCGACTTCTTGCCGCGCGCGATAGCAGCTCCCTCCTAGGCTGGCCACGGCGAGGCCAGTGGAAGGTGCTTGGCATAGGCGTGCAAGAGCCCTACGATCAAGAGCCAGGACGCTCGTCAGATTGCATCAGGCATATATCTTGTTGCAGTCCCATCACTCTGCCCAGAATCAATCCTCGCCGCGGGACAGAAACAGTGTGATGACATGGAACATTCCAACATGGGATTGTGGACGTTGCGGGCGCTACGTCAGAGGACATCGTCAGTGTTTCTGTGGCAATCAATTCACACCGCAGCAGGGGCCCTCTCGGCAGGACGGCCGACCGCCGCGACACCAGCAGAGGCAGCCCAGTCGTCAGAGACATCAGGCACCGACTTTCACAGAAAAAGAAGTGAAGTTGTACTTGGCGAGGGTACCCCCTATGACAAAGGAACAAGCTGCCGCCGATCAGTCATACAAGCAGCCGCCAGAGGGCGACCAGCATGCCTTCCGCATGGAGACCAAGAGGCAACTCCACGACCTCGCCTACCTTGCCATGACAGCAAGGCGTGCCAGAAAAATCCAGCTCGCAGAGATCCACGACAGGAAGATTGCGATCCACAAGTGCATGATGCAAGACACAATGCCACTAAGGCAGCAAATAGGGGAGTACAAAGACCGTCTCGACCGAGCCATCGAGCGCCTGCGCAGCACGCAGTCAAGGATCAAAGACCTGGAGGCCCAGGAGACCGAGAACACCAACGACATAGCTCAGCTCAGGACCTGCATCCAAGAGCTCGAGGAGCTCATCAGCGAGGACGACACGGCCATGCAGGCCCAGCAGATGCACATCAGCCCACCGCCGCCGCCACCAGCGGTCGGGGCACCGCCAGGGCAGCCCATGCCCCCAGCGCCAGGCTGCGCACCCGCACCCGCCCAGTGGCATGGACCGCCGCAGCCGCAGCAGCAGCCCTGTGCGCCGGGGGTTGGCCTTGGCCAGGCCATGGGGGGCCAGCAGCCCTCGCAGCAGGCTGCAGGGCCCCGCGGGCCTCAGGCGCCGCCGAGGCCCGTGCCGCAGGCGCCGCCGCCAGCCGTGCCGCCGCTGGCTGCGCGGGCGCAGCCCCCAATGGCGCAGGAGGGGCAACATCAGCAGGCCTACATGGCCCAGGACCCGCTCACCGAGCTCAGGGGCTTGCTCATCGGCATGGCCAACAGGCAGAACGAATCGGAGAAGGTGCTGGGAGAAGTGATTCATGCACTTCAGGCACAGCACGCGCAGCAGCAGCATCTCCATCACCAGTTGCCCATGGGGTTTCAGCAGATGGCGCCTCAGCAGGTGTCAGCGGACGCCTACCAGATCCCAGTTGGCAGGAGCCCAGGTACTTCTGCATCGGGGGCCACGACAGCTTCGGGAGATCATGGAGCCGCCCCTGGATCGACATCTGGATCGGGAGGCACGCCGCCTTTTCAGAAGGGGGAAGGGAGCAGCCCCCACACACCGAACACTGTTCCCGCCGCGCAGCCGTCGCCGTGCCCCACCACGCCAGTTGGCAAGACGCCGATTGGAGGATGCCAGACACCGATCGCAGACGACAATGGCACGAGTGCGCAGGAGTTTCAGAGGGAGCTGTTCGAACCCAGTCCAACGCCATTATCATATTGCCCGCCGATCTCACCGACCCAGCCCATGCCCAACACGCAGGCGGAGACCATTCCTGGACCTCAAGCAAGCGTCACGAGTCAAGTAGTGGTGGAGGCGTCCCCAGTCCTGTCGACCCAGGAGATGAAGAGGGCAGTGGCGGAGATCGACTTGGCCTGTGCGGGCCACCAGGAAGGCGCGCCGATCAAGTCGCCTCCTCAGAAGGTCCCACGCGGGGACCACGCTGGGGTGCCACCGCAGTAAGAGAGTTTTTCCCAGAGGATGAACCGCCAGTACCAGCCGCAGTATTTTCCAGAAGATCTACACCATCAATTCTGAAGAGCGAGTCAACCTTGGTCAGGCAGGGAAGAAGTCTGATCACAATACCAGCTGAGGACTGCAGCCAGGGAAGCAGCAACAGCAACAACAATGTTGACAAACTCGAAGGAGTTGTGAGTGAGCCCAGCCAGCAGTTGAGCAGTTCATCGGAGAATACCAGACGCAACCTGCTTGAGCAATTAGACTCCAGCAGCCTCAGCAACAGCCATTTTGGCAGCGAGTCGAGCGTTTTTGTCTCTGACCCTGGGGGGATAAACAGGGGCCAGACTTACGGCTTGCCTTGCAGTCGCTCTGTGCTCTCGGATGATCTCACGAAATCAACCTCGAATTCACCTTTCCTTGCAGTAGACGGCACCAGCGACGACATTGCTGGTGCAAAGAGCCACTCACATTCTTTACTTTTCAGTGGCTCCTTCGGTGGCGAATCGTCGCCGTGGTCGGAAAAAA